ATGGAACAGAATAGGAAGGGAACCGTCAGAATCGGATCAATCGCTGATCCTTTTTTCACGCGATCCCTCTCCTTTTTTATGTGAACGAACCGCTGGCTGCCTCGCTCGCTAGCTTTTCCGAGGAAACAAATCGATCGATCGACCTGCTGCTCCCTACGCGCGTCTGCAGCATGGGCCATAGGGGGCCCCTGAATTTTGGGGGCCCGGGGCGGCCGCCCCCCCTGCCCCTCCCCAGGGCCGGCCCTGACCACGACATCACAACTGTGCACCTGATGGGAGCAAGATCCACGTGGATCCAACCGCCATCTTGCCACCATCACCATTGCCCAAAATTCTGGAGCATGTCCCTCACTGTCGGACCCTTGAGATTGATGTGGAGGACAAGCCATGGCTCCCTTGGCCTTCCCTTGTCGAGAGACGCGTTGGGAGATGGTCGCGCATGAAGGAATCCTGACGCTGCTGGCCGCCGGCGGGCTTTACCCAGCGTCGAGTGTCGGCAGCGACGAGGGGCGTTGGTAGAGATTGTAGCACCGGCAGTGGGGAGGTGAGGCTCCCGCCCGTGTCGCCTCTGGGAGATTGTGTGGGGGCAGTAATGATTTTTCTTTTGACCTATGGTTTTTTTCGAGAAGGATCAGATCTATTATAAAAGTTCACCAAAGTACAAAGCATCTCAGACATAATAAAAATTACATCAAGATTTTGAGACCGCCGAGTGACCACTACCGCCGCCAAACAAGCCGCTGACGTGCCGTTGTTGCCGCTCCTCTATCGAAGCTGGCTTGACCTTATCAATGACAAATGGGAAGTCTCCGTGCATGTGCCCTGGAGGCGCAGTCATCATCGTTGAAACCTATATAGATCTGAAGCACCTGACACAAAATCTCGCCAAATGACAAGAAACCCTAACCTCGCTTTCTCAAGGAGATGGCAGGAATCTACGCCGGAGCTCCATCGACTACGTCCAGACGGACGAACTCTAGGAGGATCAAAGTTCGGAAGACAAACTCGAGGAAGAATCACCGCCATCTGCCCGAGCGTCGTACCTGCGGGGACTAAAAAAAACCCTAACCTAAATTACTAGCAGGAGAAAAGGCACCGGGATTACCCCCCCCCCCCCAACGGGCATTGAAGCGGCAGGCGGAGGGAAGGCGAATTCACGGGCTCGTCGGTGAAGTCTGGAGGGGAGAGTTTGCCCAACCGCCTAGGGTTAGGTAAGAAAATTTCAAGGAAGTATGTCCTAGGGTTAGGACCCCCTAGAGACTTGACCTATAAATTAAGCAAGTCTGCAAATGCACTAAGTCCACGCAAAAAGTATTCCCTATGTTTCATATTAGATTTATCTTAAGATAAACTTAATCAAATTTATATTAAATATAACATCTATAATATCAAATAAATACAATATGGCAATGATCTTCATGAATATAATAGTATTGGATAGGTATATATTATGTGATGACTTAAGACAACCTAATACACATAGTACAATATTATGATGTTCAACTTAAAATAGAAATGTGGCAATGGCATATGCGAAACATCAACAAGAAGATGATCGTCTCCAAAAGCTTGCACCATCTTTTAAACGAAAACCATGGGCACGTCCGGATTCGTAAGTATGAAATCAAAAATCAATTCGTATATGGCATTTCAGTTCCAGCAAGAGAACCAAGTATGGTAAACAGATCGCTTGGAGGTAGCAAAACGGTGAGAAAGAAAACAAAGAACCGTGTACCAAAAAGAAATGAACTCAGGAGACGCCGGAAGGGCTCACCATCACCACCTCCGAGCATGTTGCTTGCTTTTCCTTATTTTTTAAACAAATGGTGAAAGCTTTGCCATATTTTATTGATTAAGAAGAGAGTAAAGTAATATGTACAAATGGTGGCCAACAAAAATGGATTACTCCCCCCGAATAAAATTAACGAGCACCGGCTACAACCCAAAGCGCCGCCTATTTGTTGACGTTGAAGAATATGATCGAGGTATGGTTGACACATTCTAGAAGGCTCATTCCGATTTCTCAAGTAACGAGCGTGAGGATTGATGTGCGGCATGCCTTCAAAGGAACGCCAGCCCGGGTGGTGACTGCTACCCACCAATCGTGAACCGAGTCAAAGTTTTGCCAATTCATAGGGTCAAGGCCATGACGGTCAAGAAAGTTCTTTTATCATGTTCTAAATTTTAACGGAGAAACCAACAATTGAAGAGAACATGAACCTACGTTTTTGGCTCCTTTTGCATAAATGGCAAAAACTATAATTAGGCTAACTCCTCGGAGCCACATGATCCGCGGTCCAAACATGATTTTGGTTGATGAGCCAAGCGAATACTTTGCACTTCGAAGTGCCCAAGGCTCCCAAATGGTAGACTCGAACATGGAGGATGTAGTACCAATGAGTTTAGCCTGATAAGCAGATGAGGTGGAGTAGCACAGTTCAGCCATGAGTTTCAAATGATGGTGTCACCGTTCTCGGTCTTTGTTGTCTGCAGGAATGATCACCGCTCCTTGATCCGGAGCGAGAGGGCGGTGGGCTCTCTCCGACAACAACTTGGTGCACGCGAGTGCTTTTTTGTGGAGCATGATGTCGTTCTTGTCAGTGCCCTTGAGTTCTTTTTTGTTGGGTTCTGGCTACTCATGTGCTCATGCTCTCTGTCGAGTTTGTGGCGTCCTATAGGGCACTTGTGCTTTGCTCTGCATAGCCCTCTCTGTTGGTATTTATCTCATTGATATGCTTTGTGAGAAGATTTCATTATCACCTTGTATGAGTTCGAGCGTAAGGCTTTATATTTATAAAGCGGGGATGGGAACGATTTCAAAAACTAGGGATGACCCCCTCCCTATCCTAACTTCTACCATGCGCAAATGCTAGAAAAAACAAGTACTAATAGCACATTTTAATTAAATAAAAATAAAAAATATGTATGATTTTAGGTTCTCATTTGTTGTGAAAAAATGAAAAAAAGTTAAGCTTTATTTCTAAAACCCAAAAATATTATATAAACAAACTATGTTTTGTCATGCTGGCGGTAGCTGGTCCACCTCCACACCTCGTCCCTTTGCCAGATTCAAAGCTCACGTGTCTGGTGATGCCCGATGCCACCCTTTGGGGAAGGTGTGGCCCCATCCCCCTTCCTAGTTCTGACCATTGTTTTGTCTGCCTCATCTCCGAATCATGATCTAGCGGTTATGGGTTGCTAAGGCTCGGGCCAAGGCAAAATCCCTCCTTAGATTGCTGATGTTGACAGCGACGAACTCACGGATGTAGTTCTACCTTCTTGCAGGCGTTGTCAGGGCCTTTATTTGCACCCTCTTCGAGCTTAGAGGAAAGTCCAGGTACCGTTCTTCCAACCGGATGGCCACCACGTCGTTTCCCTTCTCAAGGCGACATCTTGCTCGCTCACGATGTCGCTCGTGTTGGTTGTGTTTTATCATCTATCCGTGCCGAGCATCCCTTGCTCTCTATGTCATATGTTGTACCTTTCTTTGAACTCATTTTAATTCTTTTTTGTTCTGTTTTAGGGAACTTTTTTTTTGTTTTTTTAGACACACTTTTTTTTGTTGAGGCAACAATGCCGTGAGTGCTCAAGTGGGCCTCCAAGCCCAATTACTCTCGTCTTTTTTTCTGGTAAGATCTTCTCGTCTTGGCACAGGGTCCCGCATAAACAGGGAGCAACTAGTTAACGAGCGCTTCTTCGGGAGCCTCGCAACAATCAGCGCCACTTGGCGCGCTCTCAGCCATTCGCCACGTATCGCGCTCTGGACGCTTCTTTCGGATTTTGTTTGTTTTTTTCGCACACGTTTTTGGCTTTTTAAACGGCTTTTTTCTGGGTTTTTTTGACGTTTTGGTTTCCCCCCGGTCTTTCTTAGCTTTTTGATCAAAAAAAATTTGCGTGAAAAAAATGCGTTTTTTTATTTTCCTTTCGCGAAAGTCACGTTTTTTCTTCCGCGAGAGGCACGGTTGTGCTTTAGCGAGAGTTACGCCCGTGCGTTTCGGAAACGAAAAAAAAACGTGTTTTCTGTTTTTTTTTTCGCGACAGTCACGGTTTTGTTTTAGCGAGAGGCACGGTTGTGCTTTTGCGAGAGTCACGACCGTGCCTTTCGGAAAAGGGAAAAACAAAACGTGTTTTCTGTTTTTTTGTGAGAGTCACGGTTTTGCTTCCGCGAGAGGCACTGTTGTGCTTTCGCGAAAGTCACGACCGTGCCTATAGAAAAGGAAAGAGAAAAACAAAACACGTTTTTTTGTCTTTTTTCTTTCGTGAGAGTCACGGTTTTGCTTCCGCGAGAGGCACGGTTGTGCTTTCGCGAAAGACACGGCCGTGCCTCTAGAAAAGGGAAAAAATATGCGTTTTTTGTTTTTTTTCATTCGCGAGAGTCACGGTTTTGCTTTCGCGAGAGGCACGGTCGTGCCTTCGCGAGAGTCACGGCCGTGCCTCTCGGAAACGAAAAAACGCGTTTTCTGTTTTTTTTTTCTTTCATGAGAGTTACGGTTTTACTTTCACGAGAGGCACAGTTGTGATTTCGCGAGAGGCACGGACGTGCATCTTTCAGAAAGGGAAAAAAACCATGCTCCCGGTTCGATTTTTTCGCCTAGTTTTTTTCGTGAAAAAAATTCGTCAAAACCTATCAACATGAGATCTAGTTTTGAAGATCTCGACGAGAGGAATCCAATGGTGAAAACGGTTCGAGATTTAGACGTACGGTTTAAAAGATAAAACATTTTGAATAAACAAATCTACAAAAAAAGAAAAACTCTCATATTGCGACAAGTGGCGTGCTGCATGTGCGTCGCTTGTCACGATCCAAAAAAGTGAAGTGTTTTTTGCAACGAGTACTTATTAAATTTCGGCATAAACATGTGCACAGAATTGCACTGTCCCTACCACAAGTGCGCATGGCTTACGTCAGTCAGCCGCATTACGTGTCTACTCCTCCACCACAAAGGCATGTCGACAGGGCAACGACTCACATTAATTAATCAACATGATGATGTGTAGGCATGGAGCTACCCTCAGCTGATGATCAGCTAGTGCTCAGTCACCGCCCGATCCATCGGTCTACCTGTACGATGAGGAAGATGTCCACGGTTGCGGGCGCTGCTTTGTTGCTAGCCGCCGCGGTCGTCTGCTCCTCGGCGGACAGCGAGAGAGTCCCCGCGGTGTACGTGTTCGGCGACTCCCTCGTGGACGTCGGCAACAACGACTTCCTGCCGCCGCCGGCGCCCAGGGCGGGTTTCCCCTGCGGCGTCGACCTGCCGCGCGCGATCCCCGGCGGACGGACCGGGAGGTTCACCAACGGCTACAACCTGGCCGACATCATCGGTGAGTCTGAAGCTAATTTTAGTTGCGCGGACCTTGTGCACTCGCTGTGCCTATGCTTCACACTGCTGTTAGCCCACAGATCTTAAGCTAATTTAGTCTGATCCGGTTCCTCACAATCCTTGTGCCGATTTAGATGAACTACCGTAGTTGCCAAGCTGCTTGAGATGATGCACATTAAACGATGCCTTCAAATTTTTTGAGTGCCAGTCCCCTCAAATCTTTGCGAAAACAGACCATTGTTCTTTTTTCTTATCTGCTGATCAAGGCAAGGGCGCAGAAAGAATTAGACAGGAAAATTACAAACAGGGCCTCACATAAAGCGGTGGGCACTATAATTTACGAAAAGGTGCTCATATAAACAGAAAATTACATATACATCCTGGATTCTTGCAAAGAGGACCCTGATCACAGATGATCAGGAATGGAACCAATCTCGCGAAACCACTTTGTCTGATGAGACCTCCACAGTAGAATATGCAATGGACTCCACCCTAAACCAGCACTGCCTCTAACTCTGCCATCATGTCCGGGAGGCATAAACTTGACCGCTCTTCGGCCATAGAATACAACGGCTCATCGGAGGAGACCGCCCTTGGAACATCACATGGGCATCGTAGCTCCTCCAAAATCATTGTTGTTGATGCGCACGGTTCCCATTTGTAGCACCCAGATCTCAATACAAATGTGCATGATATTCATTATGATACTTCCCACTACAAGAGGTCTAAAAACAATTCACTTGAAATGCTGCATACTGTCTTTCCGAATGTTGCAGTTATTATCATTTTATTTAGAAATTCTATGTGTTTATTTCCATTCCAATTTGGTAATACTAATACATACGTTACTTATGTATATATACACAGCACAACGGGTGGGGTTTGACATGAGCCCGTTAGCTTACCTCTCCTTGACGCCGCAAGCGAGCCTCGACCTCCTGAGCGGCCGCGTTGGGGCCAATTATGCTTCTGGTGGATCAGGAATCCTTGACGATACTGTATGTGTGTACAAATGTACATAATTTAGAACCTGCACTTACTTCGCTCGAGTCACCATCCACACACAGTATGATTTTGCCCAATCAACACCTCTTATTTCTGCACATATCTTAGTTCGTTATGTTTATCAGCAGTGCAAATTAGACCCTGAAGTCTGAAGAGGGTGACTACTTGTTGTGAATTAAGCTTGATTGACTTTTACTATCTTGGTTCAAGATAGATGATGTGCTATAAAGCATGCAGTAAAGCTTCTCTAACTTTGACATTCAAATGTAAAAATATTATTGTGACTTGTCAAATGGAAACAATATCATCAGGATTTTCATAAAAATATGTTATAATTCTCAAATTTTAATTTTATTTCTGACATATTGGTATGAACCAAATTAACTGCATTTTGGAGAATGTGTCCATGTTTTCAGTTGCATGTGGCCTCTGCCTTACAAAATGTAGGGGAACGGCACGATCACGCTCCGAGAACAGATTAAGATGTTTGCGGACACCAAGGCGACCATGATCGAGGCCAACAAGCTGGGAAATAATAGGGTCAATCGCTTGTTGTCCCAGTCCCTATTCCTCATCAGCACTGCAGGCAACGACTTCTTGGCGTTTGGCGACGGTAGGGCAACCAGAAGTGATGCATCAGCCTACATCGCCAAAATGGTCACCACCTACCTCAAGCACATCAAGGTAGGTTCATGTGAGCAACAGGAGGTTAAAAATCTTGTCTCGTATTACGGGAGATCTCAGTGACATTTGAGTTCAGATAAACCTTATCAGTATATCCATCTCAATGTCAAGGATGTTATCTTGACTTGACTGTTTTCATAACATTTTGCCAGAATACCAAAAGAACCACACATGTTTAAATGAAATCTCTTTGACCCTCATAATTTCGAACGCACGGATGCACACGCACGATATGTGAGCAGGAGTTGTACAGGCTGGGGGCACGGAGGCTAGGACTGCTGGACGCGCTACCCATCGGATGCTTGCCGGGCTGCAGAACTTCCTTTGGACACGATGGCGCGTGTGACGCCGTTGCCAACTCTCTGGCACGGCGGTTCAACGCCCTACTCCGGCTTGAAATGGCCAGCGCCACGGCAGCTTCGATGCCATGCATGGAGTACTCCATCGCCAGCATCTACGGCATCTTCTCCGACATGATCACCAACCTGGAGCTGGACAACGGTTAGCTCTCTTTGCATGACTCTCGATGCAACAATAGTCAATTTGTTTCTTCAAAATTTCTTTTACAAGGTATCCGCAACCAAAATTATATTGTAAAATGTTAAGATATTCCTATCAACCAACTATCCCAAAAGACCGATCTGATAGGAAGAAGAGATATAATATACTTAACACCCCCCCTTCACATCCGGCGTGGATATGGAATGATCAACAGTTCAACACCTCCCCCACACACCCGACGTGGGCGTGGATAAATGATTGGGGAAAATGCAGGGACTGAGACTTGAACCGAAACCTGGCTCATACCATGTTAAGATATTCCTATCAATCAACTATCCCAATCTAATAGGAAGAGGAGATATAATATAATTAACATAAAATAGAATGAAAACATTCGGCTAATCTGTACACGGTTACCTCTGAGGCTGGAACACTGGATCGTTCACGATCTCTGTGGAAGTCAAAATGCTTGATGTAATACTTCTGCATTCCAAACGGCGCGCGTCCGATTGTTCTTACCTAATGAACTGTTGGATCGTATCATCAGGACTGCAGGAGGCGACTAGCGCGTGCTGCGGAGGAGGGAGGCTCAACGCGGAGATCGACTGCTCGGCGAGCTCGAACCTTTGCACCGACCGCGACGGCTACGTGTTCTGGGACAAGGTCCACGGGACGCAGGCCGCCTACCAGCGAGCCGTTGCCGCCATGTTCGACGGCGCGGGGGTGACAAAGTTCACGGAGCCCGTCAGCTTCGGGCAGTTGATCACCGGGAAACAGCCAGCGCCGGTTGCCGTGTTAGATAAACCGGAGCGTCCGTACGTGGGTCTGGAGGCTGAGATCTAGCCAAGGGAAGGGAACTCGGAGGATTCTTTTGCAGTGTTCGGTGCAGTACATCATCAACTCCTCTGTTGAGCCATCGATGTCATTCCTGCCATCGAAATTAAGATGGAACGCTACTCCCTTATGTTCGTGCGTCCAAACTACCCCTTGCCTCATGTTCCCTCCCTTATGTCTCATGCATTAACTTAATCAAATCGTACTAAAACCTTAATTAAATAAATCAAAACTTTTCTGGTCTTCCTTTACACATATTCAAATCAAATCCATGGTCGAGGACTGAGGCAGGGTGACTCCACCGCCTATGCTTTTTGTCCCCGCCATTGACCCTCTGCAGCAGCAGATCCTCTATGTTGCCATGGAACATGACTTTTTACACAAGATTAGAGGGAGGGTGACCCTTATATGCTGATGACGCAGCCATCTTGGTCACTCCTACCACACAAGACATTGACCACCTCCGGAGCCATTCTCGGCTCCTTTGACGAGGTCACCAGGCTTGCCACAAACTTTCAGAAGAGCTCTGTCGTCCCCATCCGTTGCGGGCACTTAAATCTAGACAAAATCCTTGGTGACG